TCTGCTCCACGCTGGTTGGTTCTCATTCCTGTCCTCATGATATCCTGTCACAGTGTGGCTCCCGGTGCTCAGAAGAGGCTCAGGAAGCAGACCCGTCTCCATGTCCAGGTTGGAAGAAAAGATTGAGGTTTTCAAATGGAAGTATCTATCCAAATTATAGGACCTGCTACTTAGCACCTGGGACGGAAGGGGACCAGAGTTTTCACAGCACTTTACGTGCCCAGTGTGCTTGGAGAAGAAAGTCCTTCCCACCCTCTGAAAAAGTAATGGATGTGGGAACAGATGACTCCTAAGAAAACCTCAGAAGTGGGCGTCAGGGGGATATTGGCATGTTGGGTTCTCTCCCTATGCTCCAAATCCTGACTCCTGAGCATTCTGTGGGAACTAGTGCTGGGATGAAAATTCCATGTATGGATTTTGTGATGCATGTGGTCTTGGCTTGAGTATTTGTCAGATGGACCTTTTTTTCCCTCTCTCTCTTCCAGACAGGACTCCTGTGACTCGTCACTGTTGTTCTGTGTTAGTGCCAAGTGCTTTTCCATCACTCAAGAATATCAGTAACACCAGCAAACCTTCAGGCAGGTGATGTTATATTACACCTAAAACCTATGCTTGGCTGAAATGGCAAGTCCACAAGATGAAGGACAGACCTAAGTAAAAGCCGTTATGTATTTAACAGCACAAAAATTTTCCATTACAAATACTGTTTTTACTCTTTCTTAATTAAAAAAAAAAAAAAATGCCTTGGGGGGCTTTGAATTTCCAAGCCTTCCAGATCAAAGATTTCTTCAGCTGTCTGAATTATAGGAATGTTGAAAAACAAAAACAAATCCTTTTCCTGCTATAAAATCCTTGCCATGTTTTTGTCTTTATGTAACTCAAAACGGCTGAACTTTTCAAAAAAGGAGTTTGGTGAGTTCTGCTCAAAACCCCAAAACTCATCAGAAATGAAGTAATTAGTACTTTTTCAAGTATTATCAGTCTGTCCCAGGAATAAATGTTACTAAAGTTTATCTTGTTTGACGATCCCCAGAATTGCTAAACAGCACTTGGAATAAAACAACTCAGGGCTCAGGATACCAAAATATTTTCAATTGCTTATTGAAGCGATTCAGGACCAAATTTTAATAATAGGGGCACGGTGGTGGTGGTGGCCAGGATAATTTTCCTCTGCTTCTGCACATGCCCTCTGCTACTACGTGTCCTTCTCACAGCATGATTGCCCAAAGAGCGAACTGTTGGCTTCAAAAACTTTTGCAGAAAGTATAGACTTTTTGCAGAGCAGTAGTTGATAGTTGTGAGTTTGTGGATACTTTTGGTCTAAGGTGTGACCCTCTGTGTTTAAGAAACAAACAGCTCTGAGCAGGAGGTGTGTCGTTGAGGTTATTGGCTATCTGCTAGAACACACAGCCTGGCCGTTTTACTCCCTGGCACGAAGTGCTCTCAGAGTTTCCACACTTTGATAATGAACCGCTTTTTGCTTTGTCACTGGGGGAAGGTCATTATGCTCGTACTAATTAAAAAACAACAACGACAAAAGAAAACCGAACTACATGGCCCAAGTCTGTGTCCCCATGCACACGGGGAGCAGCGGCTCACGTGTCCGCTTTCTGACACTGAGATTTGTGGCACTTTGTTGCGTCTAACACGTTTTTGTTTCCAATTTCCTCCCATGTTACCTTAAAAACATTTTTAAATACTTTTCTTCTAATTATTAATAAGAAATGCAGCTTAGAGGAGAATTGGAAGACCAAAACAAGCAAAAATATATGTACATGTATGTATTTATATATACACTTAAGAGCTTAAAAATCCCATTTGCATTTGCTTTATGATAATTTATATTTTGCTGCATTTGCCTTGTGAGGATGTATTTACTCACTTGAGATCATGCCGCACACAGAATTCCTACTTTTTTCTTGAAAAGGGCCATTTTCTCATGTTGCTCTAAGTTTTGTATCATTCGTCTTAATGAATGCATGTTAGTCTATTATGGGATGTATGACTTATAACCATTTTGGGGACATTCAAGTTGCTTCAGTATCTTGTTAGCATAAATAATTCTGCAATTCACATCTTTTTTTTTTTTTTTTTTTAAGTTAACTCTACTCCCAACATGGGGCTCAAACTCATGATCCCGAGATCAAGAGTCACATGCTTTACCAACGGAACCAGCCAGGCGTCCCTGCAATTCACATTTTTGTACATAAAACTTTTCAGTATTGCTCTGTTAAACAAAGACTTTCAGTTCCAAGTCATAAACATTCAATTTGCCCTGGCTTAAGTGAAAAAAAGGGAATGTATTAGCTTGCCGAGCTAAAGAGCTCAGGGTTGAGATGTGCTTCAGGCATGGCTGGACTCAGGAGCTCATTGGAGTCTTCCGGAATTCAGCTTTCTGTTTCCTGGATCAGCTTCCCTTTGTGAGAGTTTCATTCTCAGGCTTGCTCCTTTACAGCCTCTGAGAAGCAAGATAGCAATTCTTTCCCAATATTTCCATTGACAGTCCCACAATTAAGACTCACTACCATGATTCAGGTCAAATGCCTTTCTCTGAGCCAGTCACCAGGGCCAGGACATCCTTCAGGACATTCCTCTTCCACCTCACTTCCCCACCACCCTTGCTCTGCACACCTGGACCCTGATCTTTCTTGAAACCACCAGCCCGACCATCACCCAGGGCCACGGCCTCACATACCCTTCGCTCCATGTCCCTGTGGCTCACTGCCCCCTCACTTCCTTCAGCCTACACTCAGGACTTCCCAGATCACCTCTTGACTCTCTGTCCTCTCTCCCTGCTGTTTCTCTTCAGAGACTATTACTACATGATAGCCTGTTACATATTCATGTGGTAGATGTTTGAATCATTTGTCTTCCTTCATGGGGACCACAATGGCTGCCCGTTAGCAGCTCTACCCAGCACTCGATATCTAATTATCAAGTGAGCTAATGAGTTTTCCAGGCCATGTATGTACCCATCCATAGGGTCTGCCTCCCCTACCAATAAGAAGTACTTGAGGGAATGCTCTGGTTGCCTGAAGAAAATGGGTGGCCATTCCCAGGCCATGGGGACTGGATGCTGGACTGACCAAACAGCGAAGCCCATGACAATGTGACGTCACTTTCCAGAGCAATGTCCCAGGAATAGGACTTCAAAGGATGTGAACATTTTGCGTTTCTGGATGTGTATGCTAGCTCCCCTATAAAAATCCTCCTTGTGGAAGAAGAAGCAGTCTTTTTCTTTTTTAAGATTTTATTTATTTGAAAGAGGGAGAGATGACAAGTAGGCAGAGAGGCAGGCAGAGAGAGAGAGAGGGAAGCAGACTCCCTGCTGAGCAGAGAGCCTGATGTGGGGCTCGATCCCAGGACCCTGAGATCATGACCTGAGCTGAACGCAGAAGCTTAACCCACTGAGCCACCCAGGCGCCCCCGAAGCAGTCTTTCTTAAATGAGGACCAACTCATGCCCTTCCCCAGCTTAACACTGATAGGTTCCCACTGTACTGTGCATCCAGGAAGAACTCAAACCTGGCACCTAGGCCCAGAACAGTCTAATCTCAGCCTGGGCCCTCTGACCTCTCAGGCACCAGCAGGCCCTGGGACCCACTCCTTCTCACCTCAGGACCCTCATGACTTCAGCTTCCCTCTCTGCCGGGAAGGCCCACAGTGCTGCCCTCCTGCTCTCTACTCTCTCAGCCCCTCAGGAGGCCTGCCCAGACCTCTCACCCAGCATTCCCTTCCCAGCTGCCCCAGCACACGTGGGCATGCCTTCTTCACACCATCGGCACGCTTTTTGTCCCCTTATTTATTCTGTCTCCACATCTAGAATGTAGGTTCCCTCAGGTCTTTTTCTCACAGTCCCCTGCCAGATTCCAAAATTAAAAACTGGTACCCGGCGTATCTAAGGCCTTCAGTAAATTTTTGTTAGAAACAAAAATTGCTAAGAAGGTTGTAGTGAGGGGCGCCTGGGTGGCTCAGTGGTTTAAGCCACTGCCTTCGGCTTGGGTCATGATCTCAGGGTCCTGGGATCGAGTCCCGCATCGGGCTCTCTGCTAGGCAGGGAGCCTGCTTCCCTCTAACTCCCTCTGCCTGCCTCTCCGCCTACTTGTGATCTCTTTATGTCAAAAAAATAAATACAATATAAAAAAAAAAGGTTGTAGTGATTAACTGAGACTGCCCATTTCATCTCATCTCCTGTTAAAACAGTTTTCTTAGAATATAGCTCAAGAGATGGAATTTTCCTTTTAAGATTTGAGAGAGTGAGTGAGAGAGAGAGAGAGAGCGCGCGCGCTCATGAGTGGGGGAGGGGGCAAAGGGAGAAAAAGACTTCCTGCTGAGCGGGGAGCCCCATGTGGGGCTCGATGCTAGGGCCCTGGGATCATGATCTGAGCCAAAGGCAGACACTCAACTGACTGAGCCGCCCAGGTACCCCATGGAGAAAGAATTTTTTTTTTAAAAGATAGTTCTCAAATTTTATTTACTTCTTATTTCTTTTTTTATTGATGAGATGGAATTCTGGGGGTCCTCACTCACTCCACAGGTCCTAGAAGAGAAGCAACGGGGCTGTTTTCAAAGATATCACTCCCACTGAACAGAGATCAGGCACTCCGTTCTGGCCAGGTATGTTATAGCAAGGCCCCAGTTGGGTTCCACTTTCCCATCTAGTTTAAGTATGGTCCAAATCTTCATGCTCCTTGTGTTAAAAAAAAAAAAAAAAAAAGATGCCCTTTTGTTGCAACTCGACTCAAGGGAACTTGATATAAATGTTACAGTGAGTAAAAATTAGCAAATTAATCTGCTCAGGTATTTGGGATACGGTTAGGCATCATTTCTGTGCCTTCCTATCCCAAATTATCCAGTTATGTTAGCATTCTGATTTACAGAACCCTCTCTAATCTGTTCATTGCTAGCATTACAGTACATATATTTTTGTCATCAATTTTTTTTAAGAACTTTAAGGAAAAAAAAACAAAAAACAAAAAAGACTTGCAAAAAGAGAGTTGACCTATATAAAAAGCATTTAATAGGACACAAAAGCACCTTTTATCAGGTAAAAGTCCCTATGACATAACTCAGATTACAGATTACACTCATCAAATCTCCCTTTACCTGCAAAGAATTTGTCTGAGTACAAAATAACGAACGTCACTGTCCCCACCTTCTTCAGACGAATCTTCAGCGTCCTCGCTCAACTTGGGGATTACAATTAATTCAACAAGATAATGACTGTGCAGCAAGATAATGACCGTGTTCTCCAAACAAAAACAGACAATACAAAGTTTTCTCGTTTAAAAACAGCACCGTTGGAGGAAGGGGCGAGGTCTTTGAAGTGCCAAGTCCCTAAACAAGTGATTTACCTAAATTCATGCAAACTAATCACGGAGTGGTTGATGTTTTGAACTTTCCTGTGATTGAGAGTGAGACACAGAGGTAAGAAAACAGAGCAAAACAGTAACTTTGGAAACTCAAAAGACACACATGTGCACGCGCGCACACACACACACACACACACACCCCTGCCACGGTGTGTTTCTTGTTTTCCTCCCGTTGTATCACCAGTCAGAGACCTCAACCACAAAGGGGGTCTTCACGTCTATCTTGCCACTGTTGACAATGGAGCAGTCGGTGAGCGGATGGTCATGCTCATCAGTTGCCTGAAGTTCTATGGAGTGGACCACCGTCTGGTGAGAGAAAAGCAGATTCTGGGTTCACATCTCGCCAGCAACTATGGTGATCACAGGTGAAATCAGTGCCTAGTCTGAAAACCCAGGTAGAAAACCGGGTTTGTGGCTGTTGTTGTTGGTATGGTACAACTATGGAAAACTTAAAATATTCAGGAAATGTATATATAACAGAACAAAATTTACCCACTACCTGGCTACTGAAAGAACATACTTGTGTATTTTCTCACTTCTTTTAATTAGCATTTTATATTCTGGGGCGCCTGGGTGGCTCAGTGGGTTAAAGCCTCTGCCTTCAGCTCAGGTCATGATCCCAGGGTCCTGGGATCGAGCCCCACATCGGACACTCTGCTCAGTGGGGAGCCTGCTTCCTCCTCTCTCTCTCTGCCTGCCTCTCCGCCTACGTATGATCTCTGTCAAATAAAATTTTTAAAAATTAGCATTTTATATTCTAAAAATAATATTTTCATAAACACAGAGCTCTAATCAAATGTATTTCTACCCACTTTCTACCCCAGTGTAACAGTCAACATGGAATATGAGTCAGTTTCAACAATACCCTGTAAATGGTGTGGGTCAGAAGGCAGATTTAGAAGTGGACCTAGTTCTGTGTTTGCCCATTTCATTTTACTTACTTTTTTAAAGATTTTATTTATTTATTTGACAGACAGAGATCACAAGTAGGCACTGAGCCACCAGGCACCCCTGGGTTTGCCCATCTTAAAGTTGATCCACGCCCAACAAGTGGAGTGAGAGATCCCAACCCCTCAGTGATATGAAGACCCGTTCTCTACCCTGGAAGACTACACATATGAGGAAACCACCTTGAACTTCACACGGAAGGAAGGAGGACTGGTCCAGGACTAGGGACAGTGGCTTCTGACCAGCTTCCCAAATGAGGCTGAGACAAAAATAGCAACAAAGCAACTCACTGCCATGGACACGGTGCCACCTAACCCAATCGCTGGCCAATTTAGGTTAACTTAAGATAAAAGACCAGCATTCTTCTAATAATAATTATATATATTTCTAAACATTGTGTCTATGCAAACATGTGTACACATGTCCGCCTCAAGCACTGGCTTCCCATCTGATGACTTGTGGAACATTTTAAAAAATGCTTATTTAGAGTTAAAATGGAAATTTCTATGTATATTTTCCCACAGTTTTTAAAAATGCTTATTTGTGGGGGTCACCTGTGGACACTGTGATTCTGTGAGTCTGAGGGGAGCTCAAGAAAAGTGTAGCGTTCACAAAGCAAGCCAGATGATCTCTGGGTTAGAATTCAGGAGATTCTGAAGATTCCTTGGAATGGTATAAAACACACATACACACACAGAATTTTTTTTTCTGCCTGGAGAGAAAACCTATAGTTTTCATTACTATCTTAAAGAAATCTAGGACTCATAACATGTTAAGGACTGTTCCTCTAAGACCAGGCAGCGGGTCTCCCAGGACGCACCCCAATGGGTGGAAGGAAGTTGGTACAGTCGGGTAGGGCGTTAAGACAGAGGATCTAGAGAGCGAGAAGAAAAACCATGACTGGAAGACAACATAACACTTGCACGCTTCATTTCTCTTACACGTTAGCATGATATATTCACATATATGCATATATGCAGATATATGCATGAATGTTTGAACTTCATTACATTTAAAATTTTTTAAACCCTGGTTAGGCCCACCGGTCAAAAACGCAAACTGGGGGCGCCTGGGTGGCTCAGTGGGTTAAGGCCTCTGCCTTTGGCTCAGGTCGTGGTTCCAGGGTCCTGGGATCAAGCCCCCCACATCGGGCTCTCTGCTCAGCTGGGAGCCTGCTTCCTCCTCTCTCTGTGCCTGCCTCTGCCTACTTGTGATCTCTGTCTGTCAAATAAATAAATAAAATCTTAAAAAAAAAAAAAACGAACTGGTGGAGCACAGGCATATGGACGTTTATCTCACTTCAAGGGCATCATTCTGTGTGAGACTTGAGGGGTGCTGGCATTCATTACTGTGTGAGAATAGATGCCTTGAGGGGCGCCTGGGTGGCTCAGTCTGTTAACCGTCTGCCTTCCACTCAGGTCATGATCCTAGGATCTTGGGATTGAGCCCCATGTCAGGCTCCCTGCTCAGCAAGGAGTCTGCTTCTCTGTCTCCCTCTGCCTGCTGCTCCCCTACTTGTGTGCTCTCTGTCAAATACATAAATGAAATCTTTAAAAAAAATAAATAAATAAATAGATGCCTCAAATGAAGTTATGGCTCATGAGAATATAGGTCTGTCCTTTATTGTGATAGGACGGGAAGTGGTCTATGAAGTGATACGTGTCTGCTCTCTTTCTCTCTAGTCCCACTTGCCAATGAGAACCCTATCTTTGGCGACTCAGGCTGAACACTTCCTTGCCTTGTGAGAGAGGTTCTGAATGGGTCAGCTCGGTTCCTGGCTTTTCGATGGGTAGAATCAGGATGGGGGTAGAAGCTGTGGAAGAATTCTCACAAGTGAGATTGGTTCACTTGCATTTGGATGGAACAGACAGAACAGCTCACGTGAAAATGATACAAAATCGGGGCGCCTGGGTGGCTCAGTTGGTTAACTGTCTGCCTTCAGCTCAGGTTGTGATCTCAGGGTCCTGGGATTGAGCCCCACATTAGGCTCCTTGCTCAGCAGGAAGCCTGCTTCTCCCTCTCCCTCTGCTCATGCTCATTCATTCTCTGTTTCTCTCTGCCTCTCTCTCCCTCAAATAAATAAAATCACTTTTCAAAAAAAGAAAGGAAAACAAAAGAAAATGAAACCAAATCAAATACGGAAGAGGATGGGGGGTGGTCAGGAGTGGTCCAGGGTTGGGTTGGGCAGACCTTCCACCTTCTATTTTAGGAGCTGGGAGAGCTTCTGTGGGCAGCTGCTAAGGAGGAAAAATGTTGGGAGTGGAGGAGAATGAGGATTTTTAAGAAGTGTTTCTCTAGGTTATGAACTGGACCCCTGAGATACTCTTTGAGACATAACCTGCCAGAATCTGAATTCCCTCTAGTAACTGTCATCGTTCTACTGACTGTGTCTTTGGAAGGGACTTGTTTCTACACAGAAGCATGTGGTATTCAAGGGATTTTTAAAAATATTTTATTTTCAACCATGGTAAAAAAAAAAACCTAACATAAAATGCACCACCTTATCTATTTCGAAGTGTACGGTGCCATAGTCTTAAGTATATTCCCATTACCATGCAACTCTTCTGCAGAACTTTTTTTCTCTTGCAGAAGTTCAGCTGTGTACCCACTGAACACTCCCTATTTCTTCCTCCCTGCCGGCCCCTGGCAACCACCATTCTACTTCATTTTACATGTATCTGACTACCTTAAAGTGTTAGTCAGATGGTCTTTTTTTTTTTTTTTTTTTTTGATGGTCTTCTTAAAAGTGGAATTGTATGGTCTTTTGTGACTGGCTTATTTTACTCAACATATTCAAGGTTCATCCATGTTGTACCATGTAATGGGATTTCCTTCCTTTTTAAGGTGGTATTAAACCTAATATATGCACATATGGGACCCGGGTTTTACTTGGTTATGTTAAAAAAGAGTTTCCATTTATATCAATTAGCAAGATAAATGAAGCCCTTAATTTTTCCACGTCAAGGCTCCATCTTCTGCCCTGGTACTCCTCACAATTAAAATACCACATGCAATTCACCTTTAAAGAGGCAAGTCAGCATGGAATGATGGATCTCTAACAAGCACATTTTAAGATTAAAATAAATCACTGAAAGTACTCTTGCTATAAATATAAAGCTCTGAATGGGCATAATAACATATCACATTACCATTCCATCAATGACTTTTCCAAATACCACATGTTTGCCATCCAGCCAGGTGGGCTTGGTCAAGGTGATGAAGAACTGAGAGCCGTTGGTATCAGGCCCAGCATTGGCCATGCTCACCCACCCAATGCCATAATGCTTCAGCTTGAAGTTCTCATCTGGAAATGTCTCACCATAAATGCTTATACCTGGGTGAGACAAAATTAAAAAAAAAAAAAAAAAAAAAAGAGGAAAATCACCAGATGTTATATGAAAGCAAATTCTTCAAAGGGAACCATAAGGTTTTAATAGAACTGGGGACATGGGGATGGGAAAAAGATGGTCAAGCATAAGGAGAAATAAAGGAAGTGGTAGAATTCACTCCTTTGGGAATCAGGGCACCAGAGACTCAGATAAACACACAAAAACCTTAAAGATGGCACCATCCTCTGACCTCAAAGCAAGACCCCAAACAAGCAAGTCAACGATTTTGCTCTGAAATGAGAAGGAAGGGCAGGATGACACTGTTACGCCATGTGGAAAGCTGGGCCATCTTACTGGCACCATGTCTGTCCTGAGCTTCACGTGGTCACTCTGGTTTCAGCACCCAACCCTGGCACAATCAGCACTTAATATACACACTCCGCTAATCCTCATGACCCTACAGAACAGGTCTTCTCAATCCCACTTGAAATGAAGAAACAGAGGTTACAGAGCTTGAAAACTGCCTAGCAGAACCCGGTGCTCACGTAACTTCCTGACCCTCCAGCAGCGGCTCTTGCCTGCCCCCGTGCTGGAGCAACGGCAGCCAGCCTGCACGTAATGAGGCACAATGCCTTCCAGGCTCACCAAGCTATGGAAGGGGTGACAACGGGAGCACCCAGTGATCTGACCTTGAGTGGAAGAGCTGGAAGCAGCCATGGGGACTGAGCTCCAGCCCAGCAGCAAGGAGGGCAGAACCCGTTTCTCCCCTAAGAGAAGAGTACAGACCATGAGAAGTGTCCGCTCTATCCTCCAACACCTTCAATGCATGTCATGCCCACCTCCTCCCTTTCTGCAGACTCTACATCCATCAGCTGCCAACCTCAAGATCCTGGCTCAGCTGCATGGACCAGAAGTGGCTATCCAAGGCAGGCACTTTAGAGCTGATTGGTCAGTGGCCCGGAAGGAAAGCTCTGCTCACGGAGAGGTCTAGGCCAAATGTAAGTGATCCAAAAGGTCCTTCCTCCAAAACTCAAGAGAATTTCGACTCAAGACCAATGTCCACACACTTCCACACGGGCGCGTGCGTGTGCACGCACACCCACAGCAGGAAAGGCAAAGAGAGAGAGACGAGTCAGGAAAGAGGACACAGTAAAGCTCAGCTCATGTTCCTGCTGGGCTCCAGGATGGGAGAGTGGGACACCAATGTCAAGGGCATTGCTACAGGGAGCTGCACACTCTTCCAGGGAAGCCCAGCTCTGCACCAGCGAGGGAGGGAGGGCTGCTCTCCTGCGCATCCCCCCCACCACCCCACTGACCCAAGGAACCTGAACGTGTTTCTCTGCTCCATCTCCATCCCTGAACCCTGCAGCATTTTTGTAAGGACTAAAAGTAATGCTCCCGAAGACCCTGGCAAATCCAAGGGTTTAATGGTAGCCATTTTCTTATAAAGAAATCATTGTAATCAACATAAAATTAGCAGTAGTGCATGAAAGTGGGCCTAAGGGTTTCTCCAAAAAGTTAGCCGTTTCATACCTATCAGCACACATATTTGCTGAATTAAAAATCTTAAACCTAAAGTAAATTTACATTCTAATGTAGCTAGCTCTATTATGTGTGTTCAGGAAAAGGACTCATGACAGTTCTGAGCCCAGAGAGCTTGGGTACGTGCAGTCCCCAGGGAGGAACAATCAGCTCAGGTGTATGTGACAGTCCATAAATTTAATTATTTGTGCTTCACAGCACTCTACCTTGGCTTATAAAAACATATAATAAGGGGCGCCTGGGTAGCTCAGTGGGTTAAGCCTCTGCCTCTGGCTCAGGTCATGATCTCAGGGTCCTGGGATTGAGCCCTGCATCGGGCTTTCTGCTCAGGGGGGAGCCTGCTTCCCCCTCTCTCTCTCTGTCTGCCTCTCTGCCTACTTGTGATCTCTCTCTCTGTCAAATAAATAAAATCTTAAAAAAAAAACACGTAATATGGACAATTCGTTGATTACTTATTATTATTGGAAAAGCCAATAACAAAGTGAAAGAATTTGAAAAAAAAAAGGGGGGGCAAATCCCCCTGCAATCCTGCCACCTCAACCCCGGTCTCTCCCTTCAGGCGTGCTGCCCCCAGCCCTCCTGCACCACATCCATGTCTGGGGCCAGCTGCTCCCCTCCCCCACACCAGCGTGTGCACGCTTTCCCATTTGACCTTTCCTTCCCTTGTGGGCCTCTTTCTCGACCACTGCCTACTGGGAGTCTAGCATGTTAGTAACTGCAGAGCCATCTCCTGGATGAATGTATCTCCACTATGGAAAGATAACGAGCCAGAGCACTACTGTTTCCCGTGAGGGGGGCCTCACTCGTTTGTACCTGTGACTAGATTTGAGGAGCTGAGGGCTCCCTGCCACACCCTATCCTTCTGAAGCATTTGTTTGGTGGTCGTAAGTAGTTCATTTCTTACGTCTGGGAATTCAGTTCAGGGGGGTGAATGCACAGACTTGATCTTGGGTTTCAGTGTGGTAAAGAGAAAGGGAGAAATACAAAAGACATGATTACCGCCGGTGCCGTCCCCACTCGTGAAGTCTCCTCCTTGAATCATGAAATCTTTGATGACGCGATGAAATTTGCTTCCTTTATAGCCGTATCCTTTCTAAAGAGATTACGTCAGTTGAATATACAAGTAGATAGAACCCATACTGCAGGGTGAACCCTACCGTTTTTTGGATATGCGCTGCTGTAGTGAGCACTGAACCCCACTGTTTATCAGGATGTGACTCAATGAGAAAAGGACACAAACTCTCTATAGAATTAGGTCCCTGTGATGATGTACTGGTAGAAACACATCGATGGACCCAAAACAAAGAAATAAATCAACTATGGAAGTAGGGTATTAATGTGAATAAGTCAAAAGACTGCCCATCTGTATTCTCATGTGGTAACTGCTTCCCCTCGATTTCTAGGACCCCAAGGACACTGAGCACCAGGAGAGTAAGATTTTGTAGGAAAATAAAGTAAAATATTGTGAGAATGTCTCGGGTTCGTCGGACCTGCTCAATCCACGCTCATTTTCCCAGCAGACACCTTTATAATGGGCTTAAAAGAAGGAAGACCCCCTCCTGGGCACATTTAAGGGAACCCAGACTGAGACTGACCTCCCCTGTTGCGAGCGCGACAAAATTTTCCACAGTCTTGGGCACAACCTTTCCGAAGAGGCCAATCACGATTCTGCCAACATCTTTGTCTCCAATCCTCACATCGAAGAAGACCTGCGTGTGAGGGAACGGCGGAGCAGAGGGTTACGACGGGAAGAAAAAGGTAGTCTGAGAATGCGCCCCCACGCGAAAGCCCTTCCCCCCCCAGCAGCGGACAAAGAAGCTCTAGATTCATCTCCAATCACCAGTGTGGCTGCATTCCACCTGCAAAAAAAAAAAAAAAAAAAAAAAACCACGTTCATCCCACCAACATTTCATGAGCATCGCTCTGGGCCAAGCACCGCACAAGGTCCTGGTTTTGAAGACTGACTCAGCACTGTCCCAGGTCCACTGGTGAGGTCTCTGAGAACCCCACGGTCCGGGCAGCCCTGCGGTCCCCTCCCCTTTCCCAGCCTTGCGCTTTTCTGATGGGTGATGCTCTTGATCTTGGCAGGAGAGAACAACAGGTAAGAAGAGAAATTGTCTAACCATCCAGATTTATTTTTTTGTAACTTCGACCAGTGCCCGATTCCCAGGGAGTGCTCAGCAGACACCTGCCGTCAAGGGAACTTGAACAAGACATCAAAATGCACGGCCAGTCCTCGGAATGGCCGGCCACTCACTTCGGACTCTGTCAGGCTCCAGGTCCCCAGCCTTGTCCCGAGCCCCAACAGGGCCATCGGCTCTGCACACTCGGACACCCAGCTTAGTCCTCATGCCCACAAAATCCCACGGGGATGCTGGGTTCTCTTTCTGGGACAACATGTCAGGACAGATGAAAGAAAGCACGTCCCCAGAAAGGAGCATGAGTCATGTTGCACGCATGTGAACCCCACCGGTTCCCTTCCCTGAAACAAATTCTGAAAACCTGTTTCATCCAAATGAAATGATACCCATTGTGCTTCACAAATCACCGTGTTAGGATAACGCCAACGGGATGCTTGAAAAGGCTACGGAGTCGAAGGGCATTCTATTAGCGGGTTTAGATTATATGAAGCAATTTACTGTTCGAATGCGTTAAAAAAAAGAGAGAGAGACCTTTGAGAGATGGCTCTAAAAAATATAAGAAGGGTTGTCAAAGAAAAAAGATGTCTCGCAGTTTAGAAAAATCGTGAAGTAAAGACTGTCAAGCTTTGGTGCAAGACAAGGGCTTCTGCCAATACGTCAGCACGTCTGTCACGGGCTGATGTGATATTTAGTGCTCCGTGTGGCATTTTAGAATTTTCCCGTGGCCACGGCAGCCGCAACTGTATTATTATTTATACAGGAGGACTTTATAGACTGTATCAAAGACCATGTCCTTGAGATGAGCCTGTGCGCTTGAGGACGACAGTTGGGCATGGCTCCGGGATAGGCCTCAGCCCTGACACACCAGGACCGGGGTCACCAGAGCTGGTGTCAAAGAGAAGCACCTTCTCCAAAGCGATTTCCAAGCCCGGGAGTAAACTCAGGCACAGGCAATGACGAGGCAGCCCCCGGAGAAGAATCAGGGACCTCATCTTAAAGGAACGCCATACAAGACCCTAGAAAGGCCTGCCAGACTTCTAACGTACAGAAGAGAAAACAAAGCCTGTGGGTGTCTGGACAGCAAGGAGCATAAAACGTGGGAGAACAAGCCGGAGAAGGTGAAGGAAAAGGGCCTGTCCACCCAGGAAAACTCTTCAATAAAAATCTGCCTCTTCTGACGTGCAGCCTTGCACACTTCCTGATAAGATTTTTCTCCAAACTGCAGGGTCCTTCCACTTTGTGACTGGCAGCAAGGGTTTTCCCGAGTCCGGTGGAAATGATAAAATCACATCTTCTCTGTCACCAAGTACACAAGAACGGTGGCTCCCAGGCCCAGAGGGATGCTGAGGGCTGAGGGAAGGCGTCCTGGAGAGGGTGTGATGGGAGGCAGGCCTGGAGGGAGGGGAGCAGCCTCCAGGGACAAGAACAGGCCTGAGCCCCATGGGGCAGAGTTCCTTCTAGAGACAAAACACCAGGGCAGGAAATGGGCTCTTTGTGCAGGGAAGTAAAGCTACCCTTCTGACTGCAATTGACAGGGAAGGGAGACTCTGACCAGTTCCAGAAGGCGGAGGAAGGCTGCTGGCTAGGAGACCTGGGTATTTTGCTGGGCAGCAGAGAGAGGGGAAAGAACAGGGCCCCGGAAGACTTGGGGAATAGGACTCGTGTTGAGGGAAGGAGAATCTGGAACCCTGAGACCAGTTCAGGGAGGAAGTCCTAGGGCCTGTGGTGGGGGGTGGCTGAGGGGATTTAAGGACAGGGGAGAGGCACTGGGATAAAGGAGAAGAAACTGGAGGAGGAGGAGGAGGGAGGGAAGGAAAGGAACAGGACCTAGTCCGTGGGGTCTCAGGGAGCTTTGCCTAAGCTGGGAGAGTCAAAGCCAACCGTGCAGTCCTGTCATTTATCCTGAATATGGCGCTCGCAGTCCAGGCAGGGAACCCTCTAAGGGGTAGAAATGGTGTTTTCAGATCCCCGGTGCCTCGCACAGCATCGTTCAAACAGATACTCAAAAAATGGTGAGTACTTCAATGCCCCGTGAGAGGGGACGTGAGAAGCAGGGCAAACTACCTAAGTAGAGGGTGCAGGGGACCCAAGGTGGCTGACAGGCAAACACTCTCCCTCTGCACCGTGTCACCCTGAGATCATCTCTGACTGCTTGCGTGCCCTAGGGGACAGGCCCTTTTTGGACATGGGGTGAGGCTGCAAAGCCCCTGGCCATATGGACGTTATGGTCCCACAGAAAACACATATGTAAGTAGCTGTAATATAATGGACAATCTGGTTTTATAACAAGATAAGTACTGATGAAATGTCATGGGTAGAGGTGATAATTATCTGTGGAGATCAGGGTGGGCTTCCTGGCAGAGGTGGTAACTGGATTCCACACTGTACTTCAGGAGCAAGCTCAAGTCATTTGTTTCCCCCCTGAGGGCTGCCTTTGAAAGTCCTTTGAAATGATGGGCCACTGGAGGTAGAGAAAAGAGGGAACAGGAAAGAGGCACTCACAGAGCCTGATCCTAACCCCTGAAGGGTTAATCCTGCTTCCACTTCCAGAGCAACTAGGGTAGATGCCAAGGACAAGAGCCAACCACCCCGCTCCACTGCTAACTGGCCATGGGTCCTTGGGCAACTTAATTCAGCTCTGAGCTTCTGTTCCTCACCTGTTTCAGGGCTGCATTAATAAGGTCACATAAATAACACTAACAATGGACCTCAGAAATCTCAGCTAAGCACTTCACCTGCTTTATCACATCTAATATGCAAAACAAACACACAAAACCCCCAGTAGGTAGATATTATCTATGTTTCCACTAACAGAGAAGGAAATGGAGCTTCACACATTAAATCACCTGCCCCCAGGGCACCAGGCCATGCTCTAGGAAAGTGCCAGCAAGTTAGGCCAGGCATGAGTGCAGCTGGAAAGAGAGCAGCATTATTCTCTCTCATCTAGGTGCCTGACCTTGCGCAGAACCTCTGGCGTCTGCTCAGAAGTACAGGGTGGCAGATGCCTGTTCCAAGGACTTTGAGACCAGCCACAGCGTGGACCAGAGGCTCCAGGGCTGGGCAGGCAGCAGAGGGGGTGCTGGTGAGTGCCACTGAAGGGGGGCAATGCCTCGCCCCTCTCTTATTCCAGATTCCTAGTTTTTTTAAATGAAGTCAGAGAGAAAACAAAGGAGACTGTTGGGGGAAACACTAGAGCGATGGCCAGTTTATCTACTTTTCCGAACTCAGGGAAATAATTTTTTAAATTAAAAAAAAAATTATTTATTTATTTGACAGAAAGAGAGGAAGCACAAGCAAAGGGAGGGGCAGGCAGAGGCAGAGGGAGAACCAGGCCTCCTCGCTGAGCTGGGAGCCCAATGTAGGGCTCGATCCCAGGGTTCTGGGATCCTGATCTGAGCCGAAGGTAGATGTTTAACCAACTGAGCCACCCAGGCATTCCTCGGGGAAATAATTTTTAATGTCTCTCTTTTCCCATATATTGAGTTGTTTTAAAAAGTCCACTGAAAAAGTCACTTTGACAGGGCCAAATCTGTAGAAGACTCGCCTACACAATTAGCTCTTAGAACTTCATGATAGGGGCGCCTGGGTGGCTCAGTTGGTTAAGCATCTGCCTTAAGCTCAGGTCATGATCTTGGGGTCCTCAGATTGAGCCCAGCACCTGGCTTCCTGCTCAGCGGAGAGTTTGCTTCTCCTTCTGCCTATATCCCTGATTGTGCTCTCTCTGTCAAATAAATAAATGAAAATCTTAAAAAAAAAAAAAACAAACTTCATGATAAATTTGGTAGGAAGGGAACGGAGATACATTACTAATGCTGAGAGCAGAGTACAGGAAAATTTGCTGAATGACAGCACCCTAGCCAAGGGGCAGAGATGCTCCAACCTCCCCTCCAGCAGCCACCAGCTTCCTCTTGGCACCCCTCCTAGACATTCCCAGCCTGGGTGACTCACAGAGCATGACTGACTTGATCTAGGCTGGGTCTCTGCACTGGGTAGGTTTAAAAGCTTCCCTGGTGAAGTCTGTTCCCAAACCCCGCAGATGAGACTCATGGTAAAAAAGGATTCATGTTTATCTGAAATTCACACCTCACGGGGAACCTTATATTTTATCTGGCAATTCTACTTCGTTTCCCCTACCCCCATCTAAACCATCAGCAAGTCCTATTAGTTGCATTTCAAAACGTCTATTTCACATCCCTCCCCTTTGCTCCCCATTTCCACAGTTAGCACCCAAATCCACGCCATGGCCATCTGGACTCTGACATGGAGACTGAATGACCTCCCACTTCACTGTCCGTGGAGCGACCACAGTCTCTGTTTAAAAGCATGTATGAGGGGGCGCCTGGGTGGCTCAGTGGGTTAAAGCCTCTGCCTTCGGCTCGGGTCATGATCCCAGTGTCCTGGGATCGAGCCCCCGCATCGGGCTCTCTGCTCAGCAGGGAGCCTGCTTCCCCCTCTCTCTCTCTGCCTGCCTCTCTGCCTACATGTGATCTCTGTCTGTCGGATAAATAATAAAATCTTTAAGAAAAAAAAAAAAAGCATGTATGAGATGATGTCAATCCCATGCTTAAAACCCCGGAGGCTAACTGCACTTAGACTAAGACCTCAAATTAGAAGATTAAACTGGGGGTGCCTGGGTGGCTCAGTGGGTTAAAGCCTCTGCCTTTGGCTGGGATCATGATCCCAGGGTCCTGTGATCGAGCCCCGTGTAGGGCTCTCTGCTCAGCAGGGAGCCTGTTTCCCTTCCTCTCTCTGCCTGCCTCTCTGCCTACCTGTGATCACTGTCAGATAAATAAATAAAATCGTTAAAAAGAAAAAAAAAAAAAGAAGATTAAACTGCCTCAAAACCCGCTCCTAACTGTGGACTCCAAGACCCTACATGATTTTGCTGCTGCTGGCCCTTCCCGCCTTGTCTCAAGACATTCCCCTCACCCCTGGGTGGGAGCCTGTCCCCTCTCTCTGTCCTCCGAACTCTGATGGCTTTCCTGGCACGGGGCCTTTGCACATACAACTCCCTTTGCCTCCCAAGTGCTTGCCAGGCTGATTTTTCTTATCCTCCAGGTATTTTTTAGTATCACCAGGTCTATTAAAGGGTTTACAATAGTCCCCGCCCCCTTACTCGAGGTTTCCATTTTCCCAAGGTTCACTTATTCCCCTCAACCCTGTGAGCTGCAGTCAGAAGATGAGGAGGAGCGGAACAGCTCGGAATGCCTACCGCAGTCAGGTCACCTTACTTCATCTCATCAGGTAGACAATTTATCATCTCCCAGCATCGCAAGAGGAAATGTGAGTGCCTTTAAGATATTTCGAGAAAGACGGCACTTGCGTAACTTCTTACGGTATACTGTTATAACTGTCCTATTTTATTATCAGTTATGATTGTTAATCTCTTTCTGTGCCTAATTTATATATTAAACGTTCCCTTGTTTAATATATATGTATGTTTAATATGTATGTTATGTATAGGACAAAACCTAGTGTATGGGTTTCAGTATCCACTGGGAGTCTTAGAACTTGGCCCCTGCAGATAGGAGGGGACTACTATATTTTCTTCCTCATTTTATGAACGTTACCTTTACGGTTGTTATCCCGAAAGACCCAAATTGTATCTGCAGACTGAAAGACTCCCTCTACCCCACCATTTCAGCTCTATGGCCTTGGACAAGCCATTTCTCAAAAATAGATACGCCTCAAATATCAAGGGGCAGGGCTGAGAATCAGTGCTCACACCAGTGGGGCTAAGTTTCCCCCTTTCACGCACACAGAGACTGCAGCATGGTATGGCCTTATGTTCATTCTTAGGCTACATCAGATGTTTGGGTGACCTCCCTCTCCCCACGTCCCTCATTCTCCCCTACCCCCACCCCAGGTGGGATCTGTGGGAGAGGACTTAAGCAGTGTACTACTTGTTCAACAGTATCATTCCCACTGGCAAACACCCGATTTACTATTAAAACAACTTGCAGCTGCCCCTCCTCCCAGATTCCAAGACACTGCTGCTGCCAGTGGTTTTTTCTAGAAGTAGTGATCAAGGGCACGAAATCATTCCCTTCCCTCCCTCCCTTGCTCTGTCTCTCCCCACACCCTCCATTATCTTCTAGCCTGGATAAATATGCTGGGAAAAGCACGGTGGTGCTTGGAGAGACAGTCCAAGGCAGATCCCCCCCCCCACCAACCCCCCCCCCCCCCCGCCCAATCCCCTATAGAGATTAAAAGGCTGTGGGTGCTAGCAGTTTCTCAAGCTCTGGGTGCAAAGTCTGAAACAGTCAAAGGCTAAAGGCGCACCTCACCCCCACCCCCCGCCCCGGGCGGGGGCGGGGGGGGGACAGCCTCTCGCTACAGCAAGGCTCCTAATTTTCCCGGACACCCCCCACCCCAGCGGGCTCCTCCAGCCTGGGTGACAGCGGTGGCCGCCTCCCACTGCACCCCCACGGCTCAGAGATAGTCTCTTCGCCACCCCGCCTGCATTCTTCCTGCTTCTATTCCAGAGTCCTCGCCACGCTAAAGGAAGTACTCGGGCCGCCTCCTTCCTGGAGAAAGAGCCCAGTGGTTCCGGAAGCTTCCCGCAGCTCCCAGGGCAGGTCACGTCGGACCGCCGCCCCGGAGACTAAGTTCAAACTGCTGGGCCTAGCGCCCCCAAGTCGCCCCGGACAGCGCGGTCCCCGAGCCCTCGCACTGAGCCCCGCGGCCGCCTCGCGTCCCCGGCGCCCGGGAAGTCCCCTCCTCGCCGCCGCGGACACCGAGGACCCAGTTCCCAAAGCTCCCCCGTCCCCCTGGACCGCGCGAGGGCAGTTTGCTGCCCGCCAATCAGTTACCTTGGCCGTCACCGTGGGGCCTCGCCTGCTGACGCCCGAGGCCCCCGCAGAAGTCACGAGCGCGCCGAGCCCCACGCAAAGCGCGAGAGGTAGCAGCAGCTGGGGACCCGGGCCCATGGCGAGCGCCGGCAGCGGCTGCAGCGGCTCCAGCCCCACCGCAGCCTCCCGGACGGGTGGCTGGACTTCCCCGGCCGCTGCGCCTGCGCGCTCCCGGTTTGGGGAGGTGGGGGGGCTAGGATGAGGCGGGAGGGGCAGGGCCGGAATCTGGGGCGCGCTCCTCCCAAGTTCAGCCCCGGGAGCCGCTAGGGACTGGGCGCGACGCCCTGCTGACGGACGCTCCAGCGGCGGGGGCGCAGGACGCCGGGGGCCGCAGCGAGCCAGCTCTGCTCCCGCGCGGTGCCCCAGAGAGGCACGGACCCTAGGCGCGGTGGAGCTGCAGGGTGCGCGCGGGGCATCTCCCTCAATGTACCGCGTAGGCACGTGTTAAACCTGGCGGAAAGTTCAGGACTCTCCGCGCTCCAAGTCCGCCTGGCAACTTGTGCGCTGCGCGGTCAGAGGCTCTGCAGACCGGTTGGTGTCCGTGACCACAGCTGCCCTTGGAGGAGCCCCCGCCGCACCTGTCAGGTTCTTGGGAGACCTTAGTTAGCTCATCAAAGACTTCAGCCTAAAGTTTTCGACGCCTGTCAGTGCTTTGGGACCCCTGGATGGGCTGACTCGATTACATGTGATGAATGACCCATGAGATGATTCAAGTTGGAGATACAATTTTTACAAACTTATGAACTGGGTTTAGGAAGACTAATGATATGGGGAAAGCTCATACTTTTTAATGGAAAACTCAGGCTGCAAAATCATATGGAAATTCTGATCTCAACTGTGAAGAAGTATATATAAAGCCTTTTTTAAAATGGAGAGAAAGGTACCAAAACATTCACAGTAGCTGTCGTGATAGAATTATGGGTTTTTGCTTTCTTTGTAATTTTCTGATTTCCCAGGTTGTTCTATATTGAACATGTAAGTAATTTTATAATCAGGGAAGTGTTATTTTAAAACTCAGTGCTTTCCAAATTTGGACTTAAAACTTTTTAATTTTAGAGTCATAGCTCCAAAATTAACTACAAATTAATAATAGTATTCTCTTGGTTTTCTGAGTGGCTGCCATGACCTTCAAGCCAAGATTTTCCTTGGGTAAGCAGATAGGATTCCTACGTGTAAGTGTAGATCTAAATATTACACTGGAACTCCCCCCCCTTTTTTTAAAGATTTTATTTATTTGAGAGAGCGAGAGACAGAGAGAATGAGTGGGGGGAGGGGCAGAGAAGAGGTAGAAGCAGATTCCTTGCTGAGCAGGGATCCCCAGGCAGCGCTCAATCCCAGGACCCCAAGATCATGATGTGAGCCAAAGGAACTTGCCCAACTGACTGAGTCACCCAGGTGCCCCAGAACCATTTCTTATATATAAAAGGCATGACTGCCACTTTGGAGGAATGGGTAGAACACACCCAAACTACTTTGATAATTCAGTTCCCTGAAAGATCTAAAGGCTTTCTTTATAACCTACCACTCCCAATAAAGAAAGAGTCTTCTCTATTACATATACATATATATGTATGAGAAAAAAAAAAAAGAGTCATCCTTTTGTAGCAATCCAAGGGTATCAAAGCACTTATCCCACTAAGTGATGGTATATATTTTTCTGTATTCATTACTGTAATTGTTTTTATTTGCCTGTGTTACCAGAATGTAAGCACCACCAGAGCAGGGCACATACCTGTTTGTATGACTGCTGATGAGCCAGATCTTGTACAATGTCTGTTATATAGTGATTTCTCAGTACATATTTGTTCAATGAATGAATGGGTCTGTCTATGTACTTTTAAAAATCACTTTATTAGAAAGATTAATACAAGTAAAAGTGCACAGGATGTAAATCAATGAATTATCACAAAGCAAACACACACCCCAAACCACACCCCCAAAGAAATGAATATTCAAGAATTCCCTGAAAAGTCCTCTTGTACCCACTCCCAATTATTAACATTTTCTTTTCCACAAATTAACCATAATCCTGACTTCTCACATTGTGGTTTAGTTTTTTAACTTCCTAGAGATGGAATTTTGCAGACTATATTCTTTTGCTCAAATGTATGCTTGTGCAGTGCATCTATGTTTTTGCACATAGCTGTTTTGGTAAATATCAGAAGGTAGGGGTCAAATTCAACTTTTAGGGGGATAGCCATTTATCCCAGCACGATTTATTGGGAAGTCTCTTCTTTACTGATGGCTCCATAATGACATTTCTATCATGGAACAAGGGCCCCTACATGCTGTCTCTTCTGTCCCACTGACATCTTTGTCATCATACTTTGTGTCAGTCCCACATTGTCTTAATGAAAATAGCTTGATAGTAAGTCTTCATATTTAGTAATGCGAGTACTGTCACTTTGCTCAGCAGATTCTGTCTCTTCTTGACCCTTTCCTTGTCCATATAATCTTGAGAATCAGCGTGTCAGTTTCTGTAAGTTGGGATTTTGATGAGGATTGCATTGTATCCATAGATCATTTTGAAAACACTTAGCACATTTGTACTATTCCAATTCATGAGCGTGACATATTCCTCCATTCACTTAGGTCTTGTTTAATTTCAATAAGATTTTATCCTTGTCTTCCTAAAAGTCTTATACATATTTTGCTAGATTGACTTCAAGGTATTTAGGTGGGTTTTGTGTGTGTGTGTGTGTGTGTGTGTGTGTGTGTGTGTGTGTATACTATTGTAAATTACACCTTTTTAAAAAGATTTTATTTATTTATTTATTTGACAGAGAGAGATCACAAGCAGGCAGAGAGGCAGGCAGAGAGGGGGGCAGGAAGCAGGCTCCCCGCTGAGCAGAGAGCCCGATGCAAGGCTCGAACCCAGGACCCCGTGATCATGACATGAGCCGAAGGCAGAGGCTTAACCCACTGAGCCACCCAGGTGCCCCGTAAATTACAACTTTTTAAGCATTTATTCTCTTGTTTGTTACTATTGTGGTAAAATTAATTTTGTACATTGATTTTGAATAGACCAACGTTGTTAAACTTACAAATTTGAATCATTTATCTGTGAATTATTTAGGATTTTCTGCATAAACAACTGTATCATCCATGAGAGTTTTATTTTTTCCTTTCTCATCTTTATATCTTTCATTTCTTTTTCTTGCCTAATTGCATTGGCTAAGACCCTCAGTACCAAAGGAGGTAACAGTGGGGGGAGTCATTGTTTTGTGAGTTAAGTTGTGTTCCCCAACAAGATTTGCTGAAGTCTTAACCCCCAGAGTCTGTGAATGTGACTGTAGTTGGAAATAAGTTCCTCACAGATGTAATGAGTTATGATGAAGTCATACCAGAGCATGGTATACCCTACTCCAAGATGACTGTGACTGGTGTTCTCATAAAAAGAGGTGAGATAAAGACATACACAGAGCAAATCACCATGTGAAGGCAGAGACAGAAATTGGAGGGATACATCTATAAGCCAAGGGATACCAAGGATCATTGGCAGCCACCAAAAGCTGGGAAGAGGTAAGGAAGGATCCACCCCTAAGCCCTTCAGAGAGAATGGAGCCCTGCCAATGCCTTGATTTCACCCTTGTAGCCTCCAGAATCGTGAGATAATAAATTTCTGTTTTGAGCTGTCCAGTTTGTGGCACTTTGTTATAGGAGCCCTAGGCAGCAAATAAACATGTCTTGGTCCCAATTCCAGGGAGAAAGCTTTCAATATTTCAACAGTAAGTTTGATATTTGCTGAGGGTCTTTTGGGAAAGGATATCATTTTTCAGCTTATGAAAATTCCTTTCTAGTCCTAGTTTGTTAGGACTTTTTGTGATGAATTTGATCAACATCTTTTATTGAAATAAACTGAAATAGTATTCCCCCTCAGTCTCTGAATGTGGTGAATTGCATTGATTTTTAAATCTTAACCCAAAGTTGCATTCTGGAATATGTCCACATGTATTGGCCTTTTTATATATGGCTAAATATGGTGTGCTATTTTTTTTTTTAAACTTATTGAAAACTGGGAAAAATGGCATTTCTCCTGAGGTTTGGGGAAAAAACAGTGGGTAAAGTGGCTCTAGCTTTCAAGCTGATATCAAGCTGATCTTTAACATTCCATCTTTATGTTAATGAGGAAGTTTGCTAATCTTATTTTCAGGGTATCGGTGTCTGTTATTCATAAGTCAGACCAGCCTGAAATTTTCTTTTCTTGAAATTTCCTGCCAGTTTTTATATCAGAGTTATTCTGGACCTCTTAACAGGAGTTGGCAAATGGAAGCTGTTTTTCCTGTGTTCTGAGTGAGTTTGGGAAACATTACCTTCATTTCTTCTGTGAACATTTCTTAGAATCCCTCAGGCCTGGAGTTTTCTGTATCGAAAAGTTTTAAATTATAGGTTTGATTTGTTTTAAATAGTTGAAGGATTATTTAAATGTTCTCTTCTTCCATCAGTTTTTACATATAGTATGTTTTGAGGAATCTCTGTAATATATATATATATATATATATATATATATATATATATATATATAATTTATTTATTTATTTGACAGACAGAGACCACAAGTAGACAGAGAGGCAGGCAGAGAGAGAGGGGGAAGCAGGCTCACCGCCGAGAAGAGAGCCCGATGTGGGGCTTGATCCCAGGACCCTGAGATCATGACCTGAGCTGAATGAAGGCAGGAGTTTAACCCACTGAGCCACCCAGGCGTTCAGTAATTTACACTTTTTAAAAAGCTACATGTTACTTAAAAGTACAGTCGTTTATTTCCAAAATATGGCTTAAAAAATCTTTTGGTTAGTGATTCCCAGCTTACCTCTATTCTTTTAAAATATGTGGACACTTGATTAATGATGTAGGACTGGTCAAATTTTTCCAAACTATTCTCTGTGTATTCAAGGATATTATTCTACTCTTGTTAGATTCTCTAGTGTCTGTCCATTGGATCGAGTTTGTCAATACTGGATTTTATATCTCTCTCTTTACTTGACTCTTTATCTGCTTGTTATGGGTTACTGAGAAAAGTGTATTAAAATCTCTCATTATGACTGTACATAGTCTATTTCTCCTTGTAAGTTTGTAAGCTTTTTATGTTTTTTTTTCTTTGTATGTTTTAAGGCAATTTTACTGAGTGCCAACAAA